ACACATGCAAAATAATCTTTTAACTTTGTTGTGATTTATTTACCTGGATGACTGAGCGTACTTACTCTTTCTGAAATGACAAATTCTTTATATCTCATCATGCCTGTTTTATAGATGCTTTTTATAAATCCAGATCAGGTTATGAATGCCATTAGTAATGAATAAAGAGTTGTATTCTTTGAAACTGCTTTAGTAGAATAAGACTTGCTGAGATACAGTATGATGCAACGGTCAGAAACTGTCAATCTTTGGTAAATCGGATAACCAATTAGTACAAGGATGAGCAGGGACATTTCTTAGACAGTCCAGCACACCACACCTAGGTTAGACAACGTTAATTTAAAAAAATGTTCTGTATTTTGAAGCCAAATAGCTATAGGTGCAAAATATCTCTAAATGTTTGGAGGGGTTCCAAAGATTTGCTGTAAAAGTCACATACGCACAATAATGTGAGATGTCACAAGCCTGGAGCTTTGGAAAATTGCTGGGGGGGGGGGGGGGGGGGTGTTACGATGTGGTCCAAGTGTTTCCAAGTTTATTTGAAAAAAGGCTAATGCTTGTTGGAAAGATGGTGTGTGTAGTGTATCCATTTTATCTTTGCATCCTATTTGCATTTTTTCCTGGTGATAGTTCTCAGTCTTTTACACCTGAATACCATCTCTGCTTTCATTCCAGTTTTTCCCCAAACTGCTGAATTTCTAAAAGAGTCCATCATGTCCAACATTGTAATGAGTCTCCAATAGTGAGCAAAACACCTAATTTACCAGAGTTTAACTAAAAGTTACATCCAAACCACTTTCAAGCTTCTAGTCTGTGCTGCTGATTGTACAAATGTGGCATCAGTTGGGGGAAATTGTCAAACCCATAAATGTGAGATGGTGGTTGTGACGTGATGTCTGTAGGATTTTTACAAATAAGATTCACAAAAACTCATAAGCACAACTTATTCATGTCTTTCTCAGCTGCCATGTATTCAAGTGAATGTGCTGCAAATTGCTGAACATCCTATAAAAAGGGGAAGTGACCCCACTTGAGTAAATGTAACCCAAAAGGATTTTGCTGTTGACTCTTCTAATGAAAGTAGCAAAACCTACAACTTTATGTGAATAGGCACCTTCCATTTATCAAAACTAATGCACAATTCATGGTCTACCATCTGCTTGACTATAATCTGTAACTTGTATTCTTGTTCACAATGAAATAATTTACAGTAGATGTAGATTTTCAAAAATGACTGCTAATTATACATGGATGGACTTCAACTCTTTACTTAAATCAAAAATGCATCAACGCACATCAACGGCAAAGATAAGATGGACTCATATTGCTTGTGTTGCACATTTGGAGTATTGTAAATCTATAACCTTTTATACATTTAAAATTGTTATATATGTTTTGTTTGATATTATACTGTTTTTACTTTTGCTCTGGGAAGCAAACCCAAATGTTGTTGTATTTAGGTGCAATGACAATAAAGGTCTATTCTATTATATTCTATTCTATATTAGCAAAGGGAGGGAAGACGGTCATTACTACAAACAGTGGTGTTAACAGATAGCAAGGCATTGGACAGATGATCTGACTTGATGGCTGGAATAACATTCACTCCAGCAACATCAACACTTTGGTCAGAATGCACTTTGGTATCAGTGGGAGATGCATGTCATTTATTTCAAACATTAAACTTCTTAGAAGTTAAAAAAAAAAAAAAAAAAAAAAAAAAAAAACACCAGGAAGATGTCTACCTGGATTGATCTAATAAGAGAGTGATGGGGGCCACAACATAAAAAGTCAAATTAAAATTTGTTGGAAGACTAAAGCGAAACGTGAATGTATTATCAGTGAAAAGCAAAACTGTGACATTAAGAAATCTAACAAAGGGATAGAACACTGTCCTAAAATAAAGCAAACATCTCGTCCTTTTTAGTGTCAGAAATTAGTCAAGAAGTGCCTCAATTTCTTCCTCCATTCTTTATATTGTACAGTCCTCCATAACTTCTGATGTTTTTCCTTCTCCTGTCAAAACCTCCGTCACATCAGTCACATATCTTAAACATCCACACCCTGCCTCTACATCCTCCTCTTTCCTCTTTCCTCCCACCATCTCATTAGTTCTGCATCTGGTGAAGAAGTGCAGATAGCGGCTTAAGCATCAGCAAGTAGGTCATCATCTTATGCACCTTCCAGTCATTTTGTCTTGGTATAAAGGACAAGAGAGAGGAGCACATGTTCACTGACTGTAAGAGAATATGTTTATTACCACCTCCAGAGTTTATGATTTCATTTTGATACAGGCATGCTTGCAGGCTTGGCTTTCACACTGTGTTAATTTTGATTACGGTAATGTGTTAACTCGCCATAAGCTAAAAGTTGATTGAACTTACAAAATGAAAAGTAACATGCAACTTTTTGTTTTGCTTATGTCAGTTTATAAGTCAGTGTCAGTCTTTATTAAGGACTCACACTGTAACATAAGAGTTAACTAGTGATAATTTAATTCCATTCAATTCAATTCAAAAATACTTTATTAATCCCAGAGGGAAATTAAATGTTTTATCTCATCATCCTGGTTTCATGCTGATGGATGTGGGCAGGAAGGATCTCTTGTAGCCATCCGTCTTAGAGCAGATCTGAAGAAACTGAAAGCAGATGTTGATCTGTCTTTTTGGACTTGGTGGGTTTCTCTGTCTTCTTGGGCAACAGGACCACGTGAATCTAAGGCAGAACTCCTCCCTGAACAATGGTCTCTCTTCCCAGCAGCTTGTTGAGCTTCTCGTCATTGTGGACAGCCAGCTGCAGGTGTCAGGGGATGATCCTGGTCTTCTTGTAGTCACGAGCTGTGATTCCCACCAGCTCCAGGATCTCGGCCGTCAGGTACTCAAACAACTCCGTCAGGTAGACAGGGATGCGTTCACAGCACCTCCTTTTTAACTCATTTGTGATTTGGACCTGTAGCTGAGGTATTATTTGAGCTTTTGAAATGATAATCAGCTGCTCCCGGTTGTAAAAAAACACCTTGTTGCCACAGTTGTGCAACATAACGTCCAAAAGTCAAAAGGTTTCAGTTAAAATCCTTCTTCTAGCTGCACAGTATCTGATATCAGAGGAAATAATCATCCAAAAAATGTGATTTACATCCAGAAAAAAAGAGGAATTAAAGTTTTCAAAAGCAACATCCCAGAATGAAAGTAACAAAGCTGATCCAACATGCAGCCACCTTGAGCAGTGCAATTCTAGAACTTTTAAATAGTTAGTATGATTTATTTATTTATTCATTTACTTTTTTGTACAAATTGGACTTGTCCTAGGTGTTAGCAAAATGAGAAAAAGTTAGCGTAAGTTAACATAAATGGCATTTATTATAGAATGTTTTATTTTTATTCCCTTTCCAATCACTGTGTTTAAACAGCTCTAAAACATTTTCATTGACTGAACGCAGCATTTAAAGGCCTCAGCTATTAGTAAAAAGTTGTTGCCAAAAAGGCACTTTTGATTATTTTTGATCAACTAAAAAGACTTGCATTTTGTGTTTGCTTTCTCTGAAGTACTAAAAATGTTATGACACCAACACTGTAGTTTAAATAATGATGTCCCTTGATATTTAGGTAAAAAAGGCAATAAAATGCACTTGGGCTTGGTAAACACAGATAGTTTTGGCAAGGATAGCTGAATAATCAATTAGGCAATTAAAATATAGATAGAAAGCATTATGCCATAAAGAAGTTTGATTTATCAACTGAAAATGATGTGTAATAAGAACTGAAAATGATGTGTAATAAGAATTCTCAATAAAAAATCCACAAACTCAAGCCGACAGCACTGCTGGAACTGAAATTTAGTGTGTAGCACACTGAACCTGCTATGTTTGACTGCAAAGGTTATTCAATGTCAAAGATATCAGGACATAGTTTAAAAAGTGCACAGCCTAATGGTACTTGGACCCACTTTGTTTCAAGTTGTTCCCGAGGGAACACTTCGGCATGGATTTTGGCAGGTGTCCCTGCTTGACATCCACGTTTTTTCCTCCTGTCGAATGGCCTGTCTCTTTTCTCTCTCTCTATCTCTCTCTCACACTGTTGGTCCCATTGTATTAATACCAGTTTGCTGACTTCTGCTAAAATTTGTCTTCACAGCTCTATTTTTTATTTTAGTCTTGTTTGTTTTACACTAGATTTTTAACTTGAGTAGTAAACAACATAAAATACTGCTCTGCTAGCTGAGAAAAATGCTACTTGACAAGAAATGTGTGCTTCAGTCAGATAAGCAAACAAATAATATACAAAAAACATGCTGCTGCTGCAAATTTTCAGCAATTCTACAAGGAATCTTCTTAGGACAAACTTGAATCTGAAAAATAAATTATGTTGCAGCTCATCTATTTGCATTTCTCATTTTATTATTTTAAGAAATAAAAAAAGGTAGATGACAAGGACCTAAAATAAGCCCAGCAAGGAAAATTAACCTAAAGAAAATGCATAAAAAGTTTGATTTTACAACACCTAACATTAGCTGTGACAGCTAATATGTTTATTGCTGCTGCACTATGTGGCTGAATCATGAATGTCACTACCTTATCATCATTATTAAATTAATCTCAATGCTGCTCACTACCTGTGCAATAACCTGTCACACAACCTGTGTAGTTTATTAGTTATGTGCAATATATATCATGTTCAATTAAGTTAATATTACAACCTGTAAAATACTTATTTATACAAATTCATCCTACTTGCACCGTTTTATTCTACCATGTTGTTTACTATCTCTCTTTTGGACCTTGTAATTATTATATTGACTTTTTCACTTTTTGGTACTTTATTTTGTACCCTTATTGCATGTTTTAGTATTTTCTTGTTTCTTTGATCTTTGTTTTTAATGAGTCAAATCAGTTCTTCTCGTCCTGAACATTTCATTGTACTGCTGGCCTTGTGTTAACCTTGCATAACAAAAACGCATAACTTGAACTTGAACCTTAGGAGTAATTAATGTTGTGGACTTACATCTTGGAAAAGACGCCGGTCTTGCGCCAGACGCTTGGATGCGAGAGTTTTAGTGACATGATAGAAAGTTAACAGTGCTCTGTGCTGCTGCAGGCCATCTTGACCCTTCACAGACTCGATCAGAATTGGAATGAGCTCCGGCCATTGCCTCGGGCAGTCCAGACGGGCCACTTTGGCTATCAGTACTGCGATCTGGGTTGCTATCTGTTGGGAAAAAATAATAATAATAACAACATGGAGGAAAAACACAACCCGAGGCTAACCATTAACAAAAAAGAAGGTGGTTATGCCAAAGGGAAAACTTAACTTTGAGGAAACTGATCTTTATCTAAAAGATATCTAATCTGTTGAAATTCTATTTTGAATGTCCTTTGAGCAATTTAGACAAGCTGAAGTAATGGAGTTGTATGGGTCACTCAAAGTGTATTATTATTAGCATTAATAGTGAAATTCTTAGCGTCTATGATTGCGCTTTAATTCACAATTATAATCTATTTGATTTGACTATGATCTTAGTTATGAAAATCAACTTTTTTGCATTGATTGTGGAATGAATACCTATTAACACAGACGTGCCTTATTTAACTGAGTGCATAATGTCAGTGTCTACATTCATTTTTCATGTATTGATAAGTCATTATGTTTTCCAAATAAGTCTGGTAAGGTTCTAAAGTTTGATTGTAAAACTCCTAAATGTAACTTTTTTTGCAATAAACGGGAACAGTCACACGGTCAAACCAACACACAATGCCTTCTGGAGTTTCAATTTCAGGAAAAAAGAATGTGACACGAGAGACATATAGTGTTTAAATCATATTCATTGCTTGTCATATGGGCCCCATGAGTTGTGACATTACAGAGCTGTCCCCACAGGGAAATACAACCTGTAGAAGGCAGGATGGATGGCCACCGTTTAGGGCCACCTTCCATGCTCCCTCAGACAGATGTCTTAAACACAATGCCATTTTCCAAAATTACTTCTTTGCTGCTGTACTTCAGACAGTCAAAACAATATAAAACTTATCACAAAGCTGTCTAACATAAAGTTTAAACATAAACAAGTGAGACTTTTAAATCATTCTCTTGAACCTTATTTAGCAAAACAAAATGTCTACAGACCAACTTGTCACAAAGGTTTAAGAAGCTTTCAATCAGTTTCAGTCTACATTACACAGTTTTGTAAAAGGCAGTGTAGATAAAAAAAATAATAATAAATGTTTTTAAATGTATTTTTTCCCAGACCCACCCCATTTTTCCCCACTGACCTGATTGACAGGCTCATTGAAGTTTGTGATAAGACCAGCGCGCAGCGAAGTCTTCTCCTCTTCTGATAATGCACTGTGAACAAAGCAATCAAAGCTATATTCAGAGGTGAGAAGACAAGAAAATATTTTTATAAAGTGTGCAATGAAGAAACATTGTGTGAGACTTTTTTTAATGTATTTTGCAGTTATGTATTCTGTTGCACCTAATTTGTTACAAATTGTAAACATACCCCATAAACACAAAAGATGCCGCTCACATTGAGAATACAACAGGCAACTGAGGAAAGTTGAAATTTTACTCCAGATTAATCAGGCTGAAGGTCAATTTCTTCTTTTCCACCATTCTGCATTGTCACTTCAGGGTGCCAGACGCACAGCCACTGCTGACTGCGTCATATAATAGACACCTTCTGATCTAATTTCCTTTTCTATACATGCAAACCAGTTTATCTCATTAACAACATGGTGAAGACCTCAATTTGCTAACTTATAATGGGGCCGATTTCATCATGTACAAATGTGCTACATTTAAATAAATTATGGAAATGCACTCCATTTGCACTTGGTTATTAAAGGCAGGTATAGTTCCATATGTGGCATAAAAAGGCAAATATCTAAACAAGTTAAGTCAGGTCCTCTGGACAGATTCTTCTTGTTGAAACATTTCGTCTTTTATCCAATAAAACGTTTCAACAAGAAGAATCCGTCCAGAGGACCTGACTTAATTTTTTTAGATTTTTCTACCAGGACTATTGAGCATGCATCAGGATAAAAAGTCAAATAGTTTTTATTAATACTAATAATCCTGATATTACGTTGGGTAAGCATTTAGCATGACCTTCATAAACAAATACATTTTATTCTCAATTTAATATACAGATGAGTGACAAACTAAATACATTAAAAAAAATTGTCAGTTTTTTAACATCACTTGCTGCCAGTAAAGATTCAACATGACTTTGTGTTGATTCTGCTACTCAGTGGATCTCTACAGGAAGAATGGAAAAGCATCCATCTAGATAAAAACAGATTTTAAAAAAATAATACTGTTTCCATGATGATTATCTCTCAAATGAAGCAGAAATACTGGGTGCACTTACTGCACTAAGACAACTGTTTGATCAGGAATGACTTTCCTTCTAAAACAAAAAAACATGAGGCACAAACACTGATTTTCCCAATAAATTAATCCCTCTTCAATATAAATACAGTAGTCCCTCGTTTATCACAGGGGATCCGTACCCTGAAGCCCCGTGATAAGTGAAAAACTGCGAAGTAGGAATAGTAGTACAAGTAGCAAGTACCGGTAGTACAAATCGGATTCCAAAAAAGTTGGGACACAGCAAATTGTGAATAAAAACTGAATGCAATGATGTGGAGGTGCCAACATCTAATATTTTATTCAGAATAGAACACAAATCACAGATCAAAAGTTTAAACTGAGAGAATGTATCATTTTAAGGGAAAAATCTGTTGTTTCCAAATTTCATGGCGTCAACAAATCCCCAAAAAGTTGGGACAAGTCAGTTTTTACCACTGTGTGGCATCCCCCCTTCTTCTTACAACACTCAACAGATGTCTGGGGACAGAGGAGACCAGTTTCTCAAGTTTAGAAATAGGAATGCTCTCCCATTCATGTCTAATACAGGCCTCTAACTGTTCAATCGTCTTGGGCCTTCTTTGTCGCACCTTCCTCTTTATGATGCGTCAAATGTTCTCTATAGGTGAAAGATCTGGACTGCAGGCTGGCCATTTCAGTACCCGGATCCTTCTCCTACGTAGCCATGATGATGTGATTGCTGCAGAATGTAGTCTGGCATTATCGTGTTGAAAAATGCAGGGTCTTCCCTGAAAGAGATGACGTCTAGATGGGAGCATATGTTGTTCTAGAACCTGAACATAGTTCTCTGCATTAATGGTGCCTTTCCAGACATGCAAGCTGCCCATGCCACAAGCGCTCATGCAACCCCATACCATCAGTGATGCAGGCTTCTGAACGGAGCGTTGATAACAACTTGGGCTATCCTTGTCCTCTCTGGTCCGGATGACATGGTGTCCCAGTGTTCCATAAAGAACTTCAAATCGTGACTCATCTGACCACAGAACAGTCTTCCATTTTGCCACACTCCATTTTAAATGACCCCTGGCCCAGTGCAAACGTCTGAGCTTGTGGAGCTTGCTTAGAAATAGCTTCCTCTTTGCACTGTAGAGTTTCAGCTGGCAACGGCAGATGGCACAGTGGATTGTGTTCACTGACAATGCTTTCTGGAAGTATTCCTGAGCCCATTCTGTTATTTCCTTGACAATGGCATTCCTGTTTGAGATGCAGTTACGTTTAAGGACCCGGAGATCACGAGCATCCAGTAGAGTTTTATGGCCTTGACCCTTACGCACAGCAATTGTTCCAGATTCTCTGAATCTTTTGATGATGTTATGCACGGTTGATGATGATAACTTAAAAGTCTTTGCTATTTTACGCTGGGTAACACCATTCTGGTATTGCTGCACTGTCTTTCTGCGCAACAATGGTAGAATTGGTGATCCTCTTACCATCTTGGCTTCTGAGGGACACTGACACTCTGAGAAGCTCTTTTTATACCCAATCATGTTGTCAATTGACCTAATTAGTGTTAATTGGTCTTCCAGTTGTTCATTATATGCTCAATTTCCTTTTTCCACCCACTTATTGTTACTTGTCCCAACTTTTTTGGGATTTGTTGACACAGTGAAATTTTGAATCAACATATTTTTCCTTTAAAATGTTACATTTACTCAGATTAAACTTTTGATCTGTCATCTATATTATATTACAAATAAAATATTGACATTGGCCACGCCCACTTCTCCGCTCCTGAACGGAGATCCACGAAGGAGGAGGGAGAAGAAGCAGAAAAATAATTTATTATAAATAAAAATTCCATGCCATTTGTGCAGATCATCCATCAATCAGCCAACTGTGTCATGTTCAATTTTACATTGAAAAACCGCGATAGAGCAAGTCCACAAAAAACTAACCATGAAGTAGCGATGGACTACTGTACTGACCTCTCTCTCTATGATTTACAATAAAATTATGCATAAAAGTAGTGAATGATGAAACGCTGCAGACTGAATGAGTACATGCTTGATTGCAATGATGCTGCGTAAATGTGTTTGTGAAATGGAGATGGAAAAGGAGGCTCTGAAATACTTTTTTAAAATGTATTTGATGTAAAATTATAGAAAAGCAGCAAAGCTCATCACAGTGTTGTAGGAAAAAAAATTGTGGATAATACTGAATGAGTACCAACTTAAAACTCTACCATATACTTAAAAATGCCATTTTAAAAATCCACTCTGAATTTACGTTCATTTAACTGACTGAGGTAAACCCTAAATTGTCTTGTGGTCTGGTGAATGGAATTTAAAACTTTCTTTGGAAACCATCGACATCTCTGTGTTGAAGAAGCAAGAGCCCATCTGTCCTTTTATCAGCGCACACTTCAAAGCCCGAGTCAGTGATGGTATGTGGGTGCATTAGAGCACAAGGAAAAGGTAACGTGCACATCTGAGAAGCCACCATTAATGCTGCAGGGTGTATACAGGCTCTGGAGAAATGTGCACTGCTATTCAGATGGGTTTTTTTTTTATCAGAGAATTTTTTAGTTTTTTTAGTTCAGATAGAAAATGCACATTATACATTTGTTGCAATATCATGGCACTGAATTATAAAAATCTGGATAAGCTAAACAGATGTGTTCACAGTCCAAGCCAGTCCTTTGGCTTAATATGAAGCAGACATTTTCACAAAAATGAAAATGATTTTGAGCAATTGATATCTTACAATGAGCACAAAAAATGGGCAAACATTATTACTTTCATAAACAAATTTGTTTGTTCCCCAAACATTTAAATGAAAGTTGTTAAGAGGTAATGAACTACGGTGAAGTGATCCGGTCAACAGCTTATGGAAAGTGCTGCTCACAATAAATTTTAAAAAAGGGTAACAACTTGTCCAAAATACATTTTGCTATTAGGTGCAATATTTTCTATCATCTTAGCAACTACTGCAAAAGTTCTCATGTTTGTGCTTCGTGGGAATTGAGATTTTATTGTGAGCAAAGAATCTGTTTGACAACAAAACATGCTGTGTCATCATATTGTATCTACATTCTGAATAAGCAGCTATAGCGCAATTGAATCACATAAATAATATTGGTTCAGCTTTCTGAACTCCTGAGAAAAGTAAACACACTTTAGGAAATGAACAAAACTTTAAAAAAAAGAAAAAGGGCAGCAATAATTTGGAGTGGCCAGGGAGTGCTGAGGAAAACTGATCACCACGGTCATCTACCACCCTCCAATTTAGCAGCAAATCTTTAATTTAAATAGGACAAAGAAAGTTAATCTGATACCCAGAAGACAGCGAGTTGGGTTCACATAGCCAAATCTGACTAAATAAGCACAAAAGAATATTTAAGTATAAAATCAAAGTGTTGTGACATGAATAATAAAACTGAATAGTGAAAAAAGAAAAGAGAGCAGTGAAAAGTTGAGTAGACAACCAAGATAAAAAGAAAAATGAAGGCAATAAGAACAAACTAAGAACACTTGAGCCTCTAAAAACAAAGAGATTAGGAGACGAACAAAGAAGAGTACATCAGTGGATAAGACGGTGTAAAGACGAGACACTACAGAGACAAAAAGGGTTTAGATGTAGAAGTGAGAGCGTGAAGCTGACGGGGGAACAGAGAGACATGCAGGTACTTACTGAGGGGCCACTCTCCTCCAGTATCTGTCAATGCCGTTTTTAAAGTACAGCACAGCCAGCCACCTGACGTTCACATCCAGCATGTGGTTATTGAAGATGTTCTGAAGGAAAAAAAAAAAAAAAAAAATCTTCACAAGTTCAAACAAGCAATAAAAAGGCAATTCAAGAGTTGACCCAGTTTAATGATGTGTAACAGCTAAAGCTACACCAAAAACAGGGCAACGACTCTTAAAACCCAACTAAATTATAATGACAGTGAGGTGATACCATCAGTCAAGGCTCATCAAAAACCAGGGCATGGTGACTTTGTAACCAAGGCTGTCTGTACAGTGCACACTTGAGTAGTTTTACTTCCTGTAACTACTTACCCATCTGAGCTGTAAAACGTAGCCATAAACCCAGAAAATATAGCTGAGTACACTGTGTATTCAGTTATTTACCTTCACACAGCAAAGGCTGGAGCACAATACTGAGTAGCACAGGCAATATGAGAGATTGGAATCTCAAGTCAGACTTCCAGGATTGGACAGGAGCCATTGCAGTGGCTTTTTAGCTTGGTAAGAATATATAACATCCATCCGTTGCATCATGGGAACAGCACAAACCATTAGAGGAGCGTCACAGCATTGCTATTAGCTGTCTGCTACTTGACTATTATTAGATTCATCACTGAGGGTAGAATTTAAATTTAGATCTGTCTGTCTTTTGATCAGCTGATGCAGATTTAACTCTTTAAGGATAACCAAGACAGATTGTGGACAAAAACATACATAAACCAAATTTTATTGTAAATAAAAGCATTTGACTCCAAATATAATTACCGTAAATGCCGGTGTATAAGCCGCTAGTTTTTCCTCACACTTTGTACCCCACGGTCTATATGCAAGGACGGCTAATTTATGTATTTTTTTCATAATTCACATTTTATATTTTATTTTGACAGACTTCCTGCTGTCTCTCGGTAACTTCCTGCCACTGACTAACATTTCCCTTTGACAGAGCTGGGCGCTCATGGCTCTTTTATCACATAGAGTGAATGCCTCAGGTAATCACATCAGTGTTGCCAGGTGAGAAATGTAGGATTATCGTACTAGAGACATAAAATTATTGTATTTTGAGGGAAATTATCGTACACCCATCATAACCAAAATGACACATCTATGTATGCACTATAGTAGTGATGGGTCCACTTCCAGACCGGCTCTGCTTCTTCTTCTTTTCTTTTTTCTTTTCCTCACTCATGGGGCGAGCGCAGTGGACTATTCAGCCAATCATGGCCGTTGTTCTGAGGCAAACGGAAACACGTCACTCGTAGGTCACATTTACAAAAGCACGAATGGCTGGAATTTCCAGCCAATCGTGCATCTGTTTGCGGACACAAATGCCTTCAGGGTTCACAAAAAAACTCCGACAGACAGTTGCGAGAGGCTGATGACAACCGATTACAACCACACATTCACGGAATGGTCAAATTATCGTATATTTGGCTTTTTTGGGATTATTGATCGTACATCGTACAGAGGGCAAAATTGTCGTACAAATATGATTATTATCCTACACCTGACAACACTGAATCACATGTACAAAGCCTCTTGCTCAGGGTTTCAAAGTCCCTACCATAACTCCACCCACTCTGTTATCATGTGACCAGAAATCTAACCTGAATGACCAATGAGGTACTCTCGAGGACCCATCCCCAAAGATAGACGAGCATTCATTTCTTCAGAGCGTTACCGTATTTTGCGCCTTGATGCACAGACCTGTTCATCTGTTTCAATGATAATGGAAAACGCACAAAGAATTTCTTATGATGCAACTTTCAAGTTAAAAGCGATCTATCTGGCTGTCAAATAAGGAAACAGCTGCCGACCGTAAGCTTTGCATTAATGTGTCGATGGTCAGGCATTGGAGACGCAACAGCAGTCAAGTCTGGTACATATTTTAAGAAAAGTTTTTAAATTCTTTCTGTGTGACATCTTTCTGTGTCAGTAAATAAGCATTTAAATACCGGGATCTCATTTTAAACTCACATCCAAACACGGAGTGGAGACAACGAACCGGAGGGGTCCTCCCCACCCTCCGTCATGAGAGCTCAGCGGAGAAGGCATCAGATTTATTTTTAAAGCAGTCAGTCATTGAAGACTAACACATATTTAAATGGTTTTTTTTATCTTTCTGTGTACGGTAAATATGTGTTTAAATACCAATATCTCATTTAAGCTCACATCCGAACACGGAGCGGAAACAACAAACAGGATGGGCTGTTCCCCCTTCCTCCCTCCTCCTCATATGAGCTCTGTTGAGCAAAAATCACGTCAAATTTATTTAGAAAGTACATTTAAAAACAGCTTCTGTTACAAATACTGTTTAACAATAAAAATCAATGGTACTAGTTTATTGAATATTAACCGTATTTTACCGGTACTATTTGACTTCTGGTCACATGACCACGATAAGATTCTGGGTAGCATTTACCGGTAGATAATTTAAAATAATTTCAGTTACGTAGGTGTTTAGCACTGTTCTGTCCAGTGATTATGCTTCGATAGTTCTTGTGTTCATTCTGAAGGTTGAATGGTTTTAACCATGAGTCAAGACAGCAAAGCATCATGATGACTTCCGATGGTCATGCAGTCTGAATGCGTGTTGAAAGCATGCTATAGTCTGTGAAATGCCATCAAGTGGCCGATTATTGTACTACAACAAGAAAGTTGCACATTATGCCAGAGCTGGCTGGGCACAAATCCTGACAATGAATGGTGGATGCCCGTGGCTTAATAACCGGAGATTCTTATTTATGTACAAAATAGAGGTGTAACGGTACGCTAAAATCACATTTTGGTTCGGGTCAGTTTCAAGTAGGGCTCGGTTCGGTTCATTTTCGGTCCAAAAAAACAACAAAATGAAGACTTGCAAAATGTTTATTTTGAAACTACGCCAAGTAAACAATACGTTTGTATAAAATTAAATAAAAGCGACCCATTTGGATGATATTTTAAATAAAAGGCACTCTTTACAATAAATAAACTATACTAACAATAATAAAAATCTTAATAAATACAACAACAGTCAGAACCAGAACAATAAGCAGCAACAATCGAACTAATCAAGTTTTAAGTTTTTGGCCAAAAGACCAACTTGTTCACATTTTCTGCCAAAAGCGCAGATCTAGTTGCAGTGAATATCTCCAGCGGTGGAGAAAACCGCTCACTCACAACAGGTAGCAGGAATAGAGAGGTAGCACTTTGCTAATTTTGCAGTGTGGCTGTATTTGGCCTCATTACTCACAACCTCTTGGACCTGCTCCCACAGGTGGGACAGGTCCCTGGAAAAGTTCAGAGTTCACTCGTCACAGACTTCTTAGCTGGAGGTGATCTCTGGTGGATTTCCCTGAAGAGGAAGAAAACAGCTGCTATGTCTGTCCCAGACTGGAAATAAAACACAGAGAGGTAAAAAAAAAAAAATGAGTTAATAAATTATAATTTTAAATAAAAAATGTTAATTAGTTAATAATAAAATAACAATACCTCTTCTTGAACGGCCATCATTTCTGCGATGAGGTGGTTGAATCTCTCGTTCATCAACATGATCTAGAGCTTTAAAAACTCCTACAGCTTGTGTTATTGCTTTGGACCGATCTGAATTACCTGATGAAGGTTGTTTAAGTGTTGATGTTATCGGTCTTAGAAGAGACGTTCATGTTCGGATGATGTCATTTCAAGCGCGTTAACAAGTTAAGACGTTTTGCCTGCTGCAGATCCAATCTCCGTGAAACAACGTCGACACACAGCTTTGGATTTGTTCACTTGTCTTTTAACAATGAAAGCCGCAATGTTTCCAAACAGGAGACCGCAACAAGAAGCTAGAATGCTAATGCTGCGCGTGCTGCACGATAATAGCGCCGTGCTGAAACACGCTTAGGAACTTTAGTTCCGCGACGCATAATCTTTCATTAATAAAAATGTAATTAATGAAAAAATAACCGAAACGGTACGCATGTAGAACAAACCAAACGTGCCGTACCGAAACGGTTCAATGCATCCACATGTACCGTTACACCCCTAGTACAAAATTATGATTTATCTTATATTTAGTATGTGCGGCTTAGAGACAGATGCATTCTGTAGCCCGAGAATTATGGTACACATCAGAAGCTGAAAATATTTTAAAGCCGTTTACAAAATTTTTAATTATTAGGGTCAGACTTAATGGCTACTAATCTCATACATCCTCTTACACCGGCTACCAGCCAGTATCTGAGCTTTCACCACCAGGTCTTTTCAACTGATCTGCTTTGTCACATCATTTTCAATAAACAGTGATATAAACGAAACAGCTCGCATCACTGGTACTTTCATTTTATACAACAAACCACTACCGACAAAATAAAGAAAACGTTTTTTCCTATGAATAGTTCTTTGTGCTTAGCTAGACGGAGCACACACTGGGACAATTTCTTCACAAACTGCACAGAGATGAAAGTGAAATTCATCATATTATCAGAGCCTGACGAGAAGAGTAAACAAATATATTTGTGATTTCCTAAAATATCAGAGTAATCTCTCTGGTGGACTGCACTGTGAGCTGACTTTTCAAGAACCCTTGCATATTGACAAAAGCCATCTGCGTCTAAAACTTTCTGCAAATAAATTTTAATGAAAACACTCAATAGAGATTTGAAGAATTCTTTACAAAAAAAATCAATCTCCAGCTGCCAGCAATCCATCGCACTTTGTCTTTAATAATATTATAGTTTCTTGCTGTCATCACAAGCTCTTGTTGTGTCGCTCGACAGCAGAACATATTGGCTCTAAATTTGTTCTAGTTGAACTGATTGCAAAAAAAAAAGTCAGTCTTTGGAGAGAAACTGTGTCCTGCTTTCTGCTTCATACATCATACGGAGATGAATGTCTACAGAGTTAAGATTGTTCTATTTCACTGTGACATCCTGACTCACCAGAAGGACTGAATAGAAGCCTGGCTGGGTCTCCCACTGCCGGAGCTGCTCCTCTGCAGGCTTCAGTACAGCGGTGTCCTGACTGGTAGCTTGGGTTAAGGCCTGCAGCACCACAGAACTCCCACTGTCCATTTCCATAGCTGATATATCTACAGAGAAATAAAAGAGAACAAGAGTCAGGCAAATGTAAAACTTTTGTTAATTTGTGTAGGACTATATATATATATATATATATATATAAATCATTAAGAGCAAGCCAATATACATTTACAAAAATGTCAAAACAAGAAACATTCACTCTTGTTTTATCCGACTGTAATATTTCTTCTCCATTTTATCAAAGACCAAGGAGGATGAAAACCACATCTGACGATGCTGATAAGGAAACGGATCTAAATAAAGAAAGGCATACCTCATAGGAAACAACTGCCGTCGTCTCTTCCATATATGTCCCAGATATTATTTAAGCACCCCAGTTTCACCCATTCATGGCCTAATATGCCTCTGTGCCTCAGGTGAAATGAACTGTTTGACAGATGGAAAGATAAACGAATGTCTAAGCCTACAATGAGACTGAGTCCTTGTTTAAAAGCCAACACCGACATTTGAATAAAACATAACTAAAGGGAAGAGATGTGTTCTTCCCTTACAAAATGCAAAGCCAAATACATAGTTTCTTGCAAGGCTATGTTAAAATCAGCATTTCGGTCATATAATTTCTTGGGGGGGGGGGGGGGGGGGGTGTCACAAACCTGCCAGATAATTTTAGTAAATTTTCTCAGGAAAATGTCTGACTGGGTAGAATGGAAGCTGTGGTGTTTGACGTCAGTAGAGTTAGGTATATATATATATGAAACAAGGCTGCCATCTACAGCTCTGACACAAATAGTCCACACACCACATGAAATGGTCTCTCAGGAATTAGACATGCCACCTCATTCTCAACAAAAGCATACCATGACATTAATGTGGCTACAGTGTTGGCTGTTGAGAAATTACTACATGAATAATTTATTCTGATAACTCCTTAAGAGGCTGCTCTATTCCAAATGCATGATCACAGTAGACAAGTAGTACTTGACTCTTAATCATTAATATCAGATATTTATGCCTTCACACACAGACCATATTCCATCAGATTTAAGATGTAATACAACAGGAACTATAATTAATCCAAATACACTTTTGTGTTTTTAATAGGATTAGCTATCCTGGTTATGTTGTTAATACCAGATTTGTAATATTTCATCAAACCCAAACTTATTAACACTTGGTCATGAACACAAATCCAACAGACACTTAATTTACACACTGATCAGTCAGTAAAACTAAAACATATACACAGTCCAGTCAAGATTAAAACAAGTGAGAGAGGGAAACTACTTTTTATCTCTGCTAAAATTAATCTTCTAAGAAACTTGAGTTTTTAGATTCGATACGGATGTCGCTGTGCATATATTAGCCTTGTAAACACCGCTGCAGACCAAATAAACACCGACTGGCAAAAGGACTCAACAACAGCCTCCAGCAGAAGCACAATGAGCATCACCAAAGCTGCTTAAAAATGGATCAAGGAACAAATCCAGAACACATTTGGTTGTTAGTCATTAAATGTGTTCTTCAGTGTTGTCAGATTAATAACTGCAATTAACATTTTTGCTTTGTTCTTGTTTATTTTATGACACTTTTATTTTGCGATGCAGATAAATAATCCTTTATTGACTTAACCTTTACCTTATTTTATTAATAATAATAATAATGTGTTATGTGTTGTCATCATTGTATGTTCCCATGCAATAGTGAAATTGTCTCTGCATTTAATCCATCCACCCCCAGGTGGAGCAGTGGGCAGCTATGGAAAGCGCCCAGGGAGCAAATGGGGATAGGGTGTGCTGCTCAGAGACACCGCGAGATGTGAAATGACTGTGGATCGAACCTGGGACTGTTGGGTCCCGGGTCGGCTGCCCTGCCAAGAATAAACAGTCGATGACGTTACCTAAAAACATTTTGGCTTGTTGATTTGTTTTTGTTACAGTGTGTGCCACTGTAAAGAGATGTAAAAGGGAAATGAAAAGCACAAAACGCCTGCCACGGGGGGTTTATATTATCTTAAATCTTCTAAAATCTAATGCTTGTGCAGTGGAGGACCAATGTCCCAAATCTAGGATGTATCATTTCAAGATGTGAGCCAACAGTGATGCACAAAGCAAGAAATCTCCCAGCCAAGTGAATGCAAGAGAGAGGAAAGCACAGCCTGGCATGGCAATGCAACTTTATTTAGAAGAGAGTATAATATGTGGTGGTATCAGTGACACATGCACAGATTACTGCACTAAAACTGAATGAGGTGGTGAAATGATGTTAAATGAAATGTAAATGACAAATGTCAATCAGTGCGAATGGGTATGGATGTAGACAATTTCAAGGTTCAAGGTAACTTTATTGTCATTCGCATCACATGTGGTACATGAGGTGGAATGAAACAGTGTACTCAAGGTCCCTCCTAGTATAAACTATAAACAATAAACTATATAAGGATGTAAGCTAATTAAACCATAATAATAATAATAATATAATAAACAATAATAATAATAGTATGCGGTAGGAATGTGCGATATAAACGGTATACGGTAGAAACAATAGAAATTTAGCCTACGATAGAGATCTGTCTTTACCGGCTAACCGCAGTAATGCTGTGTCTGAAGTAAAATCAGAGTTGTCAGTTTAATCGTTACTTTTGTTTGTTGAAAACTGTGCATAAGTGGTGTTCAAGGGTAAAATCAGAGCTGTCAGATTTAATCATTACTTTTTTTAGTTGAAAACTGTGCAAAAGTGGCGTTAATCTTTTCTTCGAGAGCTAAGTAGCGAAGCTACAAGCTACCTACAGCCGGCTTGCCGTAGTGTTGCCGTATTCTGACGCATGCGCAAAACGCTGTGTTCCGTCGATAGTTTTTGGGGGGTTTTTTCCATCGAAACTTAAAGTAAGCGTTGGTCAGCTTTAGAGAAACCTGCTCTCTGATCTGTGAAAAGAGCGCTGTGTTGTGTGATTTTACTGCGAGACCCTCTGGTCAAAGCCACAGACTCATTTTGTGTCAGCTCTCCTTAAAGTGGAAGGAGGCGCCAACTAGAGGTTTGGAGGGTGAAGTGTTTCAGTGTAAAATGCTGCTCTGTTGCTGTTCATTTATAAAGTGAGAAGACTGGAAACTGTTAAGAGTTAACAACATATTTTTTGTTTAAAACACAAGGCTAAAACTACATTTGATATCTTTTGCAATGTTTTGCACAAGAAATAAGCCTAATACTTGATTTGTTTATTATTTAAAAACTCTCTGGACCTAGTAGTGGAATTTTCTTAATTCAAAATATATGATGGCAAAAGGACACCCTCTGCTTTTTTATAGCAAGTTTTATACCAAAAACATATCGCGATATATATCGTTATCGCCACCCTTCACACCCTTCGTGATATGAATTTTATGCCATAATGCACATTCCTAGTATGCGGTGTATTACACAGCAGCCTGAACATGAGTCTGTTGTGAGCAGACGGATATGAATATAGCAACTTATGGGTAAGAAATCAGCAGCATGGATAATCAGCAGCACAGATAAAGTGTCAAATGTCCAATTAAAGTGGAATTGCAGTGATTTTCCTAATTTAATCAGACACCTAATAGAAACAGACTTTGTACACGGTTCTCAGCATTTCATAAAAACAAAAGTTTTTGAGTTTTTCTTGATTTTTCACTGAAGAAATCCTGAAATTCCAGGAGATAATTCAGTGACATCAAATGCTCAGAACTTAGCATCTTAGGTGGCAGTCAGTCACATTCAGAGATAACAGTAAGTATACTGTAGCCTATGGTATGTGTATACAACAAGCATTCCTAATAATTATCTTGTACAGCATCAGATACTAAAAAGATACCATAGCCAATCAGTAAGGATACGTGTACTTTACAATGTAGAAGCAGAACATGGAACCCACTAGAATACTAGCATGAATAAATGTACACATCAAAATCTCAAATATTTTTTAATCAGCAGATCAGTGTTCCCAGTTTTCTCAGATTTTATTTTATTTTTTTATGTTTAGTTTTTAAACACTTGACCCTGTTTGGAAAATGTTAGTCATTTTAAGTCTGATTTCCAGAGAAACTGGGCCATCTAGTACAGTTGGAACAACACTGTGCATATTTATATACAGTTCATGGGTACTGGACTTTTTTTTAACAAACTTTCAGACAAATCATCTAGGCCAAATAGCAGAAATGGTCTCTCGACATAACACCTTTGATACAAGTCAAAGCATTAACATGTTCATGACAAAGCCTACTTTATATTATGCTGCTAGCTTAATTTGTAAATCATATTGTTTATTGTGTACTGTGCCTGTAAACTGGGTAATTCAAATGCTCGAAAGCCAAAGTATGGTTGTTTTGCGTAAGACGTCATCATGCAGGATTATTATTGTTATTGTCATTTGCCGTTTGATTCTGTTACATCATGTTGTGTTTGTCCCTCGGGTTTTTCTAGAATACGGGCGATTTTATGATCAATAAAAACACGAGAAGCCAAAACAAACTCAATACTCCGGCATCATTTTACAATAATTATACAGATTTGCAATGCTTTAAAGTCCAACTTGCTTTTCACGTCAACTTAAACTGAACATAATAAAACAAGAGGGTGGAGGTTCATTATGTATCGTCAGGCATCATAACTTGGACTAGCTACCCGAGCTAAACTTCTTCAAGAAGCCACACAAAAAGGCCAACAACGTCGGTGTTCTTGAATCGTGTCGTTTTTGCAAATCAGACATATGTCATTAAAACGAGAACTAAAAATGGACTCACCCTAAAGAGTATCGACAGAAACTGAATATGTGCTTGTATCAGTGGCTGCTGTGGAAGCCAGTACGTACTGAGTTGAAAACACAACACGCTGGTTGGAATAGCTGGCGCGAGTGGCACAGCCGGCGTATACTGATGACGTAAGACGTTTAGTACGCATGCGTCAGAAATAAATACGAGCAAGTTGTTGTTTTTTTTAGTGTGTGCTGCGCTTACACGCATATTAATTCATTCATGCTTTATTTAGACATGTTAATCATGGGTGAAAAACAGAAAATTTCCAAATGATCACGAGCATCTCTACCCTCCTATCTTTCTTTGGACTTTGAAGAAAGAAAAAAAATCTGCCTGGAGGAACCTCCCTAACTAAAATCAATTAGAAAAGCAAAAATAAAAGAAAAGAGGGTGTCATCTCATCATTTAAACTGCTTCACGTTCAAAACACGCAAGCTGTTGAAGTTCTCTAATAATGCAAAAAAAATAAAAAAACTTGAGGAGAAATCCAGTGTTGTCAAGTAAGTAAACATACAAGGTATCACTGGGTATTATTTAATTCAACAGAAGTTGTCTCAGGGCACCATACAAAAGCATGATACATAAAAAGCTAATTAGTAAAGTTGTCTCTCTAAGGAAGCCAGCAGATTGCGTTGAATCTTCTCTTTGTCGCATTCTCCCATATATATATATTATCTAATGTATTGTCTAATTTCTAACTATTATAAATATATGCAAAATATATCCAATGTATTATTGTTGTCTGTACTTTAAATGTTCTCAATCTAAAACAGGTCTTTCTTGAAAATGAGTCCTCCTCGTGACTACATGAGACTAATCTGTATAAATAAAGGTTGATT